ACAGTGAGTGTGTGTCAGTGTTTACAGAAGTCGTCCAAACTCTGGGTTTGTCATGAACACATCAGATGTGGGAGCAGATTTGCGTCACTTCCGGCTGCAGTGTGAACACACACTTTGATGAGCTCTTTAGAGTAAAGATGCATTTAAAAAAAAACACAGATCATGTTTAGTTCATTTTTGGGCTCAAATGTTACTGCACCAAAACTGACGTCAAATCAAATCAAACTTTATTTATAAAGCACTTTTCATACAAAAATACGACCCACTGAGAACTGGAGGTGTGCACTGGCACGAGTCTGACGATACGATACGATACGATACATATCATCATGTGCATGTCATGATTCGATATATCACGATACTAAAACATAGGAGGATATATTGCGATTTATCAGTAATTACTTTATTACTATTAATTACTGTTGTCTGCACCTTCACAAAAACACAACTGTACAAAATATAATTTATACAAATATTTAAACCATCAGAACAATGAATGTAACTAATGATTTTTTGTGAAAAATATTATTCTAAAAATCCATTCAGATGCATTTGGAATCAGTTTGAGAATTGTACAATGAAGTAAGTCATTTATTTATTTCTATTGAGCTTTTCACAAACATTTGTCACAAAGACACTTTATAGAAAATTATATATATACTATATATATACTATATTATACTATATATACTATATATACTATATATATATATTATACTATATATATACTATATATATATACTATATATACTATATATACTATATTATACTATATATATTATATATATATACTATATATACTATATTATACTATATTATACTATATATACTATATATACTACTATATATACTATATATACTATATTATACTATATTATACTATATTATACTATATTATACTATATTATACTATATATACTATATTATACTATATTATACTATATTATACTATATATACTATATTATACTATATTATACTATATTATACTATATATACTATATATACTATATATACTATATATACTATATATACTATATATACTATATTATACTATATTATACTATATATACTATATTATACTATATTATACTATATATATACTATATATACTATATATATATATATACTATATATATACTATATACTATATATACTATATATACTATATATACTATATTATACTATATATACTATATTATACTATATTATACTATATATACTATATTATACTATATATACTATATATACTATATATACTATATATACTATATATACTATATATACTATATATACTATATATATATACTATATATACTATATTATACTATATATACTATATATACTATATATATACTATAATATATATATACTATATATACTATATTATACTATATATACTATATTATACTATATATACTATACTACTATATATACATATTATACTATATATACTATTATACTATATATACTATATATACTATATATTATACTATATATATATATATATTATACTATATATATATATACTATATATATATACTATATATACTATATTATATATATACTATATATACTATATATATACTATTATTATACTATATTATACTATATATATATATACTATATATATATTATACTATATTATACTATATTATACTATATATACTATATTATATATATACTATATATACTATATATATATATACTATATATATACTATATACTATATATACTATATATATACTATATATATACTATATATATACTATATATACTATATATATACTATATATACTATATATACTATATTATACTCCAGACCTGGTGATGGTAAAACTACTGTAGCCGCAGCCCTGAGACACTGATCCCTCCAACCATCATCATCACACACACACACACACACACACACACACACACACACACACACACACACACACACACACACACACACACACACACACACAAACACACACACACACACACACACACACACACACACACACACACACACACACACACACACACACACACAACACACACACACACACACACACACACAGCACTTTCACATGAGGCAATGAGGGTGAAGTGTCTTGCCTGAGGACACAACAACAGTTTCTGCCCCTGGTGCCTCCTGTGGAAACTGATTTTCCCAGTGTCTCCGTCCAAGTCCAGACCCAGACCCAGACCTGGAGACCAGACCAGACCTGGACCTGGACCTGGACCTGCTGAACTTCTGAGATCTGACGGGATCAGACTTTGACAAACCAGTGTGACCACGAAGTGTCTCGATATTTGACTGCCAAGAGTTTTTTTCTCACACTCTGACTGAAAACTGACGCTCTTTGTCCTGGTTTAAATCTGATTCTTCACATCAGACGAACCTCAGACTCAGGTCATGATCAACGACAGCTCGGGTCAGGTTTTATCATTGTGTCCTTTGGCAAGACACTTCAACCACACGGCCTCTTATGAAAGTGGAGTGAGTGTTTGTGTTGGTGGAAGGTGCAGACCGACAGCCTCACTTCTTTTACATCTTTTACTTTAACCTTATTCTTGACCTTCCATCACTGAACACCTCAAATAAAAAGTGTTTCTCTGAGCTCCAGTCGAACGTTACACACCACATTTTGTTTTTTAATATTTTGTTCAGACCTTAAGGCGCAAAAAAAGAACGACCCTGTGTCCAGAGTAACGACGGACGACCTGAACGATGGACCCTCCAGTGTTTTTTCGTCGTTTCTTTTTTCACCGCCTCAGAGTGCGGAGGGAATAAAGACACAGTGGAGCTTTTTGAACGGCTTTCAAGCAAAATACCAGTGTAAAGCTTTTTTTAAAAATTATTATTATTATTATTATTGTGATTATTTTTACGGGCGCTGATCAAACGTTGTTGTTGGCAGCAGAAATCAGAGTCTGGTTCAAACGAGAGGAGCGAGGGATGAATAATGCAGCGAATGAGACGGATCATGTACAGAGTAAAACATCTGAGGCCCGAGCACCTCCGAGCGACATCACTAATGCATCAGCCCGCGAGTTTATACATCAGCCCGCGAGTTTATACATCGAGTTTATACATCAGCGAGTTATACATCAGCCCACGAGTTTATACATCAGCCCGCGAGTTTATACATCAGCCCGCCCACGAGTTTATACATCAGCCCGCGAGTTTTATACATCAGCCCCACATCGAGTGAGTTTATACATCGAGTTATACATCGCGAGTTTAGTTTATACATCAGCCCGCGAGTTTATACATGAGTTTATACATCAGCCCGCGAGTTTATACATCAGCCCGCGAGTTTATACATCAGCCCAGCCCGCGAGTTTATACATCAGCCCGCGAGTTTATACATCAGCCCACGAGTTTATACATCAGCACATCAGCCCACGAGTTTATACATCAACCCGCGAGTTTATACATCAGCCCGTGAGTTTATGAGTTTAGTTTAACATCGAGTTTATACATCAGCCCCGAGTGAGTTTATACATCAGCCCACGAGTTTATGAGTTATACATCAGCCCACGAGTTTTATACATCAGCCCCGAGTTTATACATCACGAGTTTATACATCAGCCCACGAGTTTTATGAGTTTATACATCAGCCCGCGAGTTTATACATCAGCCCGCGAGTTTATGAGTTTATACATCAGCCCGCGAGTTTATACATCAGCCCACGAGTTTATACATCAGCCCACGAGTTTATACATCAGCCCACGAGTTTATGAGTTTATACATCAGCCCACGAGTTTATACATCAGCCCACGAGTTTATACATCAGCCCACGAGTTTATACATCAGCCCACGAGTTTATACATCAGCCACGAGTTTATACATCAGCCCACCATCCACGAGTTTATACATCAGCCCACGAGTTTTATACATTCAGCCCACGAGTTTATACATCAGCCCACAGAGTTTTTACGAGTTTATACATCAGCCCCATACACGAGTTTTATACATCAGCCCACGAGTTTATGAGTTTATACATCACAGCCCACGAGTTGCACCAGCACCAGGCCAGGTTTAGTCCTGGTTTAGTCCTTTAGGTTTAGTCCTGGTTTTTAGTCCTGGTTTTGTCCAGATTTAGTCCTGGCTTAGTCCTGTTGTATAGTCCAACTTTAGACCTAGTTGAGTCCTGCTTTAGTCCTGGATTAGACCTGGGTTAGACCTGGTTTAGGCCTGCTTTGTCTTGGTTTAGACCTGATTTAGTCCTCTTTTTTAGTCCAACTTTAGTCCTGCTTTAGTCCTGGTTAAGTCCTGGTTTAGACCTGCTTTAATCCTGGTTTAGGCCTGTTTTAGTCCTCTTGTTTAGTCCAGATTTAGTCCTGGTTCAGGGCCGTGGTCTCTGGGCCTGAGGTGCTCATCGGGCTCTAGATCTGATCAGTTAAAAAAACAAAACAGTGCAATATGATCCTTAAACCTTAAACCCGTCACTTGTCTGTGTCACTTTGACTCGTGTGGAGTTTCTGTGGTGATAATAAAGACGAGCAGAACACAGAACACAGCAGAATCATCCCCAGTGCATTTTTAATGATGAAATCGTGTGTGTCGTGTGTGTGTGTGTGTCTGTGTGTGTGTCTGTGTGTGTGTGTGTGTGTGTGTGTGTGTGTGTGTGTGTGTGTGTGTGTGTGTGTGTCTGTGTGTGTGTGTGTGTGTCTGTGTGTGTGTGTGTGTGTCTGTGTGTGTCTGTGTGTGTGTGTGTGTGTGTGTCTGTGTGTGTGTGTGTCTGTGTGTGTGTGTGTGTGTGTCTGTGTGTGTGTGTGTGTGTGTGTGTGTGTGTGTGTGTCTGTGTGTTCTGTGTGTGTCTGTGTGTGTGTGTGTGTGTGTGTGTGTGTGTGTGTGTGTGTGTGTGTGTGTCTGTGTGTGTGTGTTGTGTGTGTGTGTGTGTGTGTGTGTGTGTGTGTGTGTGTCTGTGTGTGTTGTGTGTGTGTCTGTGTGTGTGTGTGTGTGTGTGTCTGTGTGTGTGTGTGTGTGTGTGTCTGTGTGTGTCTGTGTGTGTGTGTGTGTGTGTGTGTGTCTGTGTGTGTGTGTGTGTGTGTGTGTGTGTGTCTGTGTGTGTCTGTGTGTGTGTCTGTGTGTGTGTGTGTGTGTGTGTGTGTGTGTGTGTGTGTGTGTGTGTGTGTGTGTCTGTGTGTGTGTGTGTGTGTGTGTCTGTGTGTGTGTGTGTGTGTGTCTGTGTGTGTGTGTGTGTGTCTGTGTGTGTGTGTGTGTGTGTCTGTGTGTGTGTGTGTGTGTGTGTGTGTGTCTGTGTGTGTGTGTGTCTGTGTGTGTGTGTGTGTGTGTGTGTGTGTGTGTCTGTGTGTGTGTGTGTGTGTGTGTCTGTGTGTGTGTGTGTGTGTGTGTGTGTCTGTGTGTGTGTCTGTGTGTGTGTGTGTCTGTGTGTGTGTGTGTGTGTGTGTGTGTGTGTGTGTGTGTGTCTGTGTGTGTGTGTGTCTGTGTGTGTGTGTGTGTGTGTGTCTGTGTGTGTGTGTGTGTGTGTGTGTGTGTGTGTGTGTCTGTGTGTGTGTGTGTGTGTCTGTGTGTGTGTGTCTGTGTGTGTGTGTGTGTGTGTGTGTGTGTCTGTGTGTGTGTGTGTCTTGTGTGTGTGTGTGTGTGTGTCTGTGTGTGTGTGTGTCTGTGTGTGTGTGTGTGTGTCTGTGTGTGTGTGTTGTGTGTGTGTGTGTGTGTGTGTGTGTGTGTGTCTGTGTGTGTGTGTCTGTGTGTGTGTGTGTGTCTCCAGTGTGTTTAACCAGCTCCAGTTCAACCAGAGACGAAGAGCCAACGAGAACATGAAACATGAAACATGAATCACGAGAACAAATGATGCAGAATCACCAGGTCCCAAATATATAAATGTACAGATCCTTGTTTTTGTTTGTTGTTGTTGTTGTTGTTGTTTTTACTTTTGCTCAAACAAATAAAATGAATGAACGGTGCAGAGGAAGAGAGGAAGAGAGGGAAGATACGGTACAGAGGAGGAACAGAACGTGTGGAGCAGAGGAAGGACGGTGAGTTTAAGATACAGAGGAAGACCACAGAGGATGAAGAGGATGAAGAGGATGAAGAGGACGAAGAGGATGAAGAGGATGAAGAGGATGAAGAGGATGAAGAGGATGAAGAGGATGAAGAGGACGAAGAGGATGAAGAGGAGCAGAGGATGAAGAGGATGAAGAGGACGAAGAGGAGCAGAGGATGAAGAGGATGAAGAGGTGAAGAGGATGAAGAGGAGCAGAGGATGAAGAGGATGAAGAGGATGAAGAGGAGCAGAGGATGAAGAGGATGAAGAGGATGAAGAGGAGGAGAGGATGAAGAGGATGAAGAGGGTGAAGAGGATGAAGAGGATGAAGAGGATGAAGAGGATGAAGAGGAGAGCAGATGATGAAGAGGTGAGAGGAGAAGAGGATGAAGAGGATGAAGAGGATGAAGAGGAGCAGAGGATGAAGAGGGAAGAGAGATGAAGATGATGAAGAGGATGAAGAGGATGAAGAGGAGCAGAGGATGAAGAGGATGAAGAGGAGCAGAGGATGAAGAGGAGCAGAGGATGAAGAGGATGAAGAGGAGGAGCAGAGGATGAAGAGGAGCAGAGGATGAAGAGGATGAAGAGGAGCAGAGGATGAAGAGGATGCAGAGGATGAAGAGGATGAAGAGGAGCAGAGGATGAAGATGATGAAGAGGATGAAGAGGACGAAGAGGATGAAGAGGAGCAGAGGATGAAGAGGATGAAGAGGAGCAGAGGATGAAGATGATGAAGAGATGAAGAGGAGAAGGATGAAGAGGATGAAGAGGATGAAGAGGATGAAGAGATGAAGAGGATGAAGAGGATGAAGAGGAGGCAGAGGATGAAGAGGATGAAGAGGATGAAGAGGAGCAGAGGATGAAGATGATGAAGATGATGAAGAGGAGCAGAGGATGAAGAGGATGAAGAGGAGCAGAGGATGAAGAGGATGAAGAGGATGAAGATGATGAAGAGGAGCAGAGGATGAAGAGGATGAAGAGGACGAAGAGGAGCAGAGGATGAAGATGATGAAGATGATGAAGAGGAGAAGAGGATGAAGAGGATGAAGAGGAGCAGAGATGAAGATGATGAAGATGATGAAGAGGAGCAGAGGATGAAGAGGATGAAGATGATGAAGAGGAGCAGAGGATGAAGATGATGAAGAAGAGGATGAAGATGATGAAGAGGATGAAGAGGATGAAGATGATGAAGAGGAGCAGAGGATGAAGATGATGAGATGATGGAAGATGATGATGAGGATGAATGATGAAGAGGAGCAGAGGATGAAGATGATGAAGAGGATGAAGATGATGAAGAGGATGAAGATGATGAAGAGGATGAAGAGGATGAAGATGATGAAGAGGATGAAGATGATGAAGAGGAGCAGAGGATGAAGAGGATGAAGATGATGAAGATGATGAAGAGGATGAAGATGATGAAGAGGAGAAGAGGATGAAGATGATGAAGATGATGAAGATGATGAAGAGGATGAAGATGATGAAGAGGATGAAGATGATGAAGAGGATGAAGAGGAGAGGGTCAGAGAATCGTTCAGCTTCGTTTCGTTTCGTCAACAGTTGTAAAAAAAACAACAACAACAAAAAAACATCTGCACGATTCCCGCCCTCTGCTCCAAATATTCACTTTCTTTTTTTTTTTTTTTAACAACAAAAATAAACAAACACAAAAAAATGACACGTAAAATTAAATAAATAAAAGAAAGTCACGTCTTATTTAGCTGAACTGAAGCCGCGTGCGCGACATCACCACCGCAACGTCGTTTTTCACGTAATTAAAATGCGATGAGCGTAACCCACAACAATCAAAGAGCACGCGCCGCAGCCACACGCACGCAAATATTCCGCGGACGCACCACGCGAGTCCGCCCGGTTCGGTTCTACATCCCGGGGCCGAACCGTTTGGGCGGAATGTTTGACGTGTTCAGAACCGCGTCCGGGACTCGTGCACGGTGCGTGAGCGTATGCGCGCGCGTCCACTCAATGTCAAACGCGTGAAACGGCGAAAGGACGCGACCGAAACACGGAAAATGTCGATGCGTGAATGAACGAAGGAAAAACGTAACGCGGGGAGGAGGAATGACTTTGGACTCACTGGTTCTGGTTCGATCCCGGGGGATGAATTCGCGTCCAGAACGGAACCGTGACGCGTGCGTGACGGCTCCTGTTGAGTCCGCGGTAACCTTGGAGTCCCGCGCAGGAACCGGGTCCGGGGTCCTCGGGTCTTGGGTCTCGGTCCGGGTCAGACCTCGGGCAGGTTCGACCCCGCGGAGCCTCGGTTAATCCGGACTAAACCATGAGACGCGCGCGGTCCGAACTGAGCGCGTCTCTGCGGCGGATCGGACGCGTTTTGTTTGCGTTCAGCTCGGTGTCAGCTCGGTTCCGGTCCTGGTTCGGTGCTGGTGTGTAGTTCCGTCCGTGATCCTCAGGTGCGTGCGTCCTGTTGCGTCCTCGTGCCTCCTCCGCGCGCTGCTCGTGTGTCTTCGGCTCCGTTCGGACGCGTTCGGAGCGGTTCGCGCGCGCTCCGCCTCTCCGCTCGGTTGGTTCTGGGCTCGGTTCTGCGGGTCCGGAGCGTCTGGAGCCCGGGCTCGGGATGTGACCTGATGCGCGCGGGCTCGTCCTTGTGCTTCGGATGCTGAGCGAGGCGCGGTCACGAGGAGGCGCGCGCGGCCGGGAGAGCGGGCACGGGCGCGCGTCTTCGGTGAACGGCACGTGTCAGTGGGTTTAGGCGGAAATAACGAGGGGTTTGAAGGTTTGAAGGTTTAAAGGTTTATTAAAGGTTTAAAGGTTTAAAGGTGCACTCTGGAACTTTCCTGGTGGATGATCACGCACTGTGAAAAATAATAAGTAGAATTTACTCCAAAAAAATGTAGAAAAACAATCACCTTGAAAATGTTGACTAAAGTGAATTGTGAGTTTATGCATCAGCACCAGGCCAAGTTTAGTCCTGGTTTAGTCCTGGTTTAGTCCTGGTTTAGTCCCGGTTTAGACCCAGTTTAGTCCTGGTTTTGTCCCGGGTTAGACCTGTTTTAGACCTGTTTTAGACCTGGTGTAGTCCTGGTTTAGTCTTGGTTTAGACCTGGTTTAGACCTGGTTCAGTCCTGGTTTAGACCTGGTTCAGTCCTGGTTTAGGCGGAACTAACGAGGGGTTTGAAGGTTTAAAGGTGCACTGTGGAACTTTTCTGGTGGATGATCATGCACTGTAAAACATAATAAGTAGAATTTACTGGAAAAAAAAAAAAAAAAAACAATCGCCTTGAAAATTTTGACTAAAGTCGACTGTGAATCTAAAGACGAGTTTACAAGAAATTCACGTTCAGTAAATTTCACTTTCATCTAAATCAGAGTCCCAGTTTTGAGTCTGTGTCCCCGCAGATTTACACAAAACCACTGATTTGTCCCAATTTTACACACAAAATGTCCCAAGTGTCTCTATTTTTGACCAATTTGATCTAAACCAGGACTAAGCTAAGACTAAACCTCAGGTCTAAACCAGGACTAAAACAGGATGATCACAATTCTTGACTAATCTGATCCTCGCTGACAGTAAAAAGAAGCACAAACTGTCAGTTGTTTTGCCAAAATACAAAAAAAAAAACATGTTTGCAAATGATCATAAAGCAAAAAAAAGCAGCATCCAAAGTCCCTCAGATCATGACTGACTCGAGAACGCACCAACAATGAATAAAACATAAGTAACTTCACTCATATTGAATCTAGAATTAAAATTAAAAATCAATTTCATGATGTCAGATTTATGCAGTTTGAATGTTAGAGATTCAACATGAAATTGATTTTAATTTTAATTTTAATTGTAGAATCAGTCTGAGTGAACACATTTTTTCTGTTTTATTCACGATCATGACATTAGTTTTGTTCAGTGTCACTAATCGTCTTTCTTTCCTTAATTTGTCATTTTTTTGCAAAAAACGTGTTTCTGAATGATCATTGGCGTCTAGGGATGGGCATCATTAGTCGATTAATCTAATTGATCATTAAGAATTTCATCGATTGTAAACGTTGTAAACAGGTGTGTACATGTGTCTCTGCATAAAGGAGCGAGACAACGAACACATGTGTACAAGAAATTCCACATTGCGTTGGGACAAGTGTGAGTCCATGTGCACAGTGGATAAAGCAGCACATATGTTTCTGTCCAGTGGGAAAAAGTTTTTCCAGGTGAGAGTCGCTCAATGTGGATGACGAGGCCCCGCCCCCCTCCCCCCGTACGCTGTCCTGGTTTTGACAAACACAAATCTGGTCACACTGACCTGTATTCACCTGAGTCATGTCTTTTAATCCAACACAAGTTGAACCACATCAGCGACACAAGAGCTGGAGTTTTATCTTCACTTAGTTTATGTAAATTAGTGATGTGGTTTTAAAGTTTTGTTTCTGTGAGATTTGAACAAAACTGAATTAAACACATTATAATGTCAAACAGCTGATGTGGATCTAGAGTCGTTATGTTTATATGTCGTAAAGTTGAAATTATTGATGCAGATTAGTGCAGATAGTAATAATAATGATGATCATTTTAATATAAAAACGTTAATGATTAATCAATAATCCATCCATTTTCTTCTGCTTATCCAGGGTCGGGTCGCGGGGGCAACAGTCTGAGGAGGGACTCCCAGACTTCCCTCTCCACACAAACTTCCTCCAGCTCCTCCAGGGGGAATCCTGAGGTGTTCCCAGGCCAGTCCAGAGACATAGTCCCTCCAGTGTGTCCTGGGTCTTCCCCAGGGCCTCCTCCTGGTGGGACATGAACACCTCCCGAGGGAGACGTCCAGGAGGCATCAGAACAGATGCCCGAGCCTCAACTGCTCCTCTCGACGTGGAGGAGCAGTGGCTCTACTCCGAGCTCCTCCCGTGTGACTGAGCTCCTCACTCTGTCTCTAAGGGAGACGCCCAGACACCCTGCGGAGGAAACTCATTTCGAGCGCTTGTATCTCGTCCTTTCGGTCATTACCCAGAGCTCATGACCAGAGGTGAGAGGAGGAACGAAGACTGACCGTAAATCGAGAGCTTCACCTTTCGGCTCAGCTCCTCTTCACCACAACGATCAGATACAGCGACCGCATCACTGCAGACGCTGCACCTGTCCACCTGTCAGTCTCACGCTCCGTCCTCCCCTCACTCGTGAACAAGACCCCGAGATACTTGAACTCCTCCACATTAATTCTTCCGACGATCGATTAAGAAAATTTCATGGAATGTCCGTCCCCAGTCAGAAGTTCCTCAGATCATGACGGACATGAGAAAACTGTGCACAATGTTACACTCTATTTTCACAATTTTATTTATACCAAACATCCCAGCTTGAGTTAGAATTTTGAAAGTCTGGTCCCCCTGCACTGTAAACCTGAAGATGTCACCAGTTGATGAACTTAAAAGTCACATATTTGCTGTTTTAATATGACTCATAGTTTACTGTTAAGGCAACTCAGCTATTTTTTATTTATTATGACTTAAAAATGAAATAAAGTTAAATAATTATATCAAATTAAATAATACAATAAAATACATTTTGTCCCATGTTCATTTCAGAGTCGAGTCGCGTCTGTGAATTCGTATTTGTACTGAAGAAAGCGTAAATTTTCATTTCGTGATTGTAATTCTTGACGTTGTAACTTTTCAAATCATATTCTGATGGATAAAACACAACACATTTTATGTACGACTGGACTCATTCGAGAGTTTATGAATATTTATTTTATGCTCAACTACAGACAAATACGCACAGATTTCTATCCTACGCACATGAATATTTCTGAAAGCTTTTTACTCCGTACTTCAGATGCTCTTTATTTCTCCAGCTAAACTCTGACAAGACTGAAGTCATAGTGTTTGGTCCACAGAAACAAAGGGACAGTGTCAGCATCACCTCCAGTCTCTCTCTCTAAAACCTTCAAATCAGGCAAGAAATCTCGGGGTAATAATGGAACTCAGACTTGAACTTTAACAGCCACATCAAATCAATAACATCTGCAGCCTTTTACCATCTAAAAAACAGAGCAAAAATCAAAGGTTTACTGTCTAAATCAGACTTGGAGAAACTTATCCATGCGTTTGTCTCCAGGAGGTTAGATACTGTAATGTTCTGCTCACTGGTCTCTCCAAACGAGCTGTGAGACAGAACATCCAGAACATCCAGAACATCCAGAACATCCAGAACATCCAGAACATCCAGAACAGCTGCAGCTCGGGTCCTGACTCGAACTAGGAAGTACGAGCACATAAGCACATAAGTCCTGGTCTCAGGTCTCTGCTCTGGCTCCTGTGGCTCAGAGACTTTAAAGCAGCTCTGTTTGTACAAGTGTCTCCATGGTCGAGCACCAAAGTCCATCTGTGACATGTTAGTGTCATATGAACATCTCACACTCTGAGGAGCTCAGGGACCAACTCCTGCTGGTGCCCAGAGTCACGACTAAACAAGGGGAGTCAGAGTTTCAGGTTCATGCAGCTAAAACCTGGAACAGTCTGAACATGTGAGACAGACTCTTCTGTGACGCTGTTTAAATCCAGACTCTAAACATTTCTGTTTAACTGTGCAAATAACTGAAAGGTTTTCATTCCGCACTCTTCTCTCCAATTTATGTCTCTCTTTTTTAATTTTAATCTTCATGATTATTTATGTTTTGATTTGTTTTTATTATGATTTTAATGTATTTCTTATTCTGTAAAGCACTTTGAATTACTTTGTGTACGACTTGTGCTGTACAAATAAACTTGCCTTGCCTTTATTTCCATGCACTACTTTAAAAGTCTCTGTTCAGTCTTACGTCATGAACCAGGAAGACGTTTAGAAACATGCAGGTGTGTCCCAGTTTTGAGTTTGGAAAATGTGCTCTTATAACATTTATCTGAACTCAGGCAAGACGAAGTTTACTCTCTCACACTCACGGGTCAAATCCAGGTACAGACCCTTTAATGTTTTTATAGTTTCATATTTTGGCTTCATGACTAAAACTGTCACTCGAATTACTTTGTTTTTGTTGCTTAAAGTCCTGGTTTAAAAATCCTGGATTTTTGGTTCAGTCCTGGATCCTGGTTCATTAAAAGTCCTGGTCCTGGTTTAAGTCCTGGTTTAGTCCTGGTTTAAGTCCTGGTTTATCCTGGTCCTGGTTCAGTCCTGGTTTAGTCCCTGGTTCAGTCTGGTCCTGGTCCTGGTTTTCCAGTCCTGGTTTCAGTCCAGTCCTGGTTTAGTCCTGGTTTAGTCCTGGTTTAGTCCTGGTTTAGTCCTGGTGGTTCAGTCCTGGTTTAAGTCCAGTCCTGGTTCAGTCCTGGTTTAGTCCTGGTTTTCAGTCCTGGGTCCTGGTTTAGTCCTGGTTTAGTCCTGGTCCTGGTCCTGGTTTAGTCCTGGTTTAGTCCTGGTTTCAGTCCTGGGTTTCCGGTTTTAATCCTGGTTCAGTCCTGGTTTTTAGTCCTGGTTTAATCCTGGTTTAGTTTAAGTCCTGGTCCAGTCCTGGTTTAATCCTGGTTTAGTCCTGGTTTAATCCTGGTTCAGTCCTGGTTTAATCCTGGTTCAGTCCTGGTTTAGACCTGGTTTAGACCTGGTTTAGTCCTGGTTCAGTCCATTATCTTTTTTTTTTTTTCCATTTTTCATTTAATCACAAAATCGAAAACTGAAAAAACGAATCATAATCTTTTTTTTCATTTTGGTTTTGGAGACAAATAATGAAGAAAATAGTTGTTTTTTCGTTTTATTTTTTGGTTTTATTTTGAAAAACGAATGATACGTGGCTTGTGTGTCCATCTATCAATGATGTAATTACACAACAAGACACGCTGGACCACAAATAAAAACATCATGTACATTAAGTCACTGCCAAAAGAGTTTGAACAGTTTCAGAGGAACACGGAATCATCCAAATCGTCGTTTAGGCCCTTTAATGCTGCAATCCAAAAAGTTTCTTGACAACCGACGGAATCCATCATACAGGGAGTACCTCAAAAACCACAACTTTTAAGAGGCGCTTTGCTCTGAGTGGAGGACTGAAAATGTAGAACCTTTGGGTAATTGGGATTTTTAGTTCTAATGGCATTTTTATGTTCACAAAATCAAAATCCACCTCTTCTCTTCGTCTGTTTGTGAAGAGGAAACTGCATTAGAACATCGATCATAAAACAGTGTAACATGTGTCTTTAAACTGCGGATGAGGATTAAAGCCGACGCTCCGCTCGGCCTGTTCCACCTGTAAACTGGGTCAGGCGTTCTGCTCTCTGATTGGTCGATGCTGCATACGTAATGAGCCTGGCTGTTTAATTATGATAATACGGTCATGAAGAATAGGCCTCCGCACACAGACTCAGAGTGATCAAGAGAAAAACACCGGCTGAAAGAGGAGAAAAGAGGAGAAAAGAGGAGAAAAGAGGAGAAAAGATCGCTATAGTCCAGGTTCATTGGGTTTTCTTGATGTAATTCTAGATCTGCTCCTGTGACGTGTTCGCTCACATGATTATTTACACATGTTTACAGATGTTCATTAATATGTTTCGATTAGGTTCAGTCACTTTATTCATACCCGTGGGTAAATTTGTATACACTTAAATACTTAAATCTAGTCTAGAGGTAGTGTTTTAGTATTTAAGTAAAATGATCTTGCTGCATGGACAGATCATTTCACTGCTTTTAAGTCATTTTCTGATAGATTTAAAGGGATAGTTTGGGTTTTTTGACATAAATCTGTACATCATCCCTGTGAGCAGTGTCGTGCATCCACACTGACTCACCCCCGACAGCGTCCGGTGAGCCCAGATACTGGCCGTTTTTGGTGCTGAAGAAAGTCGTCCGGCAAGTTCACTGGGGACTGTATAATAAAGCGTTTTTCTTCTCAAAACAACATGTGTTCAAAAGAGTGACACATTTGCATCACAAAACCATCGTCGCCTAAAAAGTCAGACCTCATGATCGCTTGGCACTATTTTCTTTCCGTTCGTATCACTGCGCGCTGCCGAGTGAAGTGTTTATATCTTTTTATTATTAATAATTCATTTAAATAATGTATTATTAATTAATCATTGCATTTATATAGCACCTTTCAAGACACCCAAACCCGTGTATGAGGCGGGTGGTGGATGTGCAGGTGTGGTCATGCGGCTTGAGTTTCCGCAGGAAGTCGAGGTGCTGCTGGGTTTTCTTCAGCAGTAATGCAGTTGTCCAAACAGGTTTTGGCACTATTTTCCTATTGGTGGAAGCAGGATGACAGCGCCATCTGCAGTCCCTCTTCCACAGGACAGTGTCCCAGGTGTGTCCCGGTTTATAAACCCGAGGGCACATTTCCAGTGATGCAGTGTTGGTCCAGGAGAAGTCTTCACTGATGTGCACCACCAGGACCTTTGAGCTGCTCACTCGGTCCACAGATGGTCAGTGTTGGTCCAGGAGAGGTTGTCGATGTTGTCGGTGTTGTTGTTGGTGTTGTTGGTGTTGTTGGTGTTGTCGATGGTCTCGATGTTGTCGGTGTTGTCGGTGTTGTCGGTGTTGTTGGTGTTGTTGGTGTTGTTGGTGTTGTTGGTGTTGTTGGTGTTGTTGGTGTTGTTGGTGTTGTTGGTGTTGTCGTGTGTTGTCGTGTTGTCGTTGTGTGTTGTTGGTGTTGTTGGTGTTGTTGGTGTTGTCGGTGTTGTTGGTGTTGTCGGTGTTGTCGGTGTTGTTGGTGTTGTTGGTGTTGTTGGTGTTCTCGATGTTGTCGGTGTTGTTGGTGTTGTCGGTGTTGTCGGTGTTCTCGATGTTGTCGGTGTTGTTGGTGTTGTTGGTGTTGTCGGTGTTGTTGGTGTTCTCGATGTTCTCGATGTTGTCGATGTTGGAGGATGTTTTTAATTTAATTCATTTTAAGTTAGATAGATTTATTTTTTTGCAGTGTAGGGACTAAACCAAACACTGAACATCTTATTTTATTAAATATAACATTATACTGAAGTTAAAGTTATCTCAGAGTTTGACACCTGCATACTACTACTACTACTACTATTATAATACTACTATTCTTATAAAAGTACTACTAGAGTTCTTGTTCTCAGGATTATTGTGACAGTCACTTCCTTCATTCACTTCATCGACATTTTTTTGGTTTTGATGACGTCAAAAACAGGAAACATCTTTAACAGCTCTGCGCCACAAACTGCACTTCTGCAACAGACGAGTCCCCAGACCAAGACCAGACCAAGTCCAAGACCAAGACCAGACCAAGACCAAGACCAGACCAAGACCAGACCAAGAGCAAGACCGGGGACTTTACTGGAAGAAGCAGGACTAGACGAGCTGCAGAAGGTCGAGAACTTGATAGTCATGGTGGTTTTGAACGGGTTTCGATGGGTCTGAGCTGGTCTCTGTGGATCTGAACCGGTTTTGAGGGGGTCTAAACGGGGTCCAGACCGGGACCAGGAGGATCTGAACCGGTTTTCAAAAGACTGAAGGTGAAATGTTGTGAGAAAAGCAGAAGAACTTAGAAAATGGAGGACGACGTGAGTAAGAAAGGAGCTCTGTTCCTACAACAACAGAGATTTGGAAAGGTACTAATACTTTTACTACTACTACTACTACTACTACTACTGTTACTACAACAACAACTACTACTACTGCTACTACTATTACTACTGCTACTACTACTACTGGTACTATTACTACTACTACAACTACTACTATTACTATTACTAATATTACTACTGCTACTATTACTACTACTACTACTACTATTACTACTACTACTATTACTACTACTACTGGTAAAATATATGCAGGCACCAAAATAACAAGGAGATAGTACTGCAACTTCTGTTACTATTACTACAAAGAGTTTGCAGAGAAACCAGGACAACAAGAAAGTACTACTACAACTGCGACTACTACTATAACTGCTTCTACTACTACTACTACTACTATAACTGCTTCTACTACTACTACTACAACTGCGACTACTACTATAACTGCTTCTACTACTACTACTACTACTACTATAACTGCTACTACAACTTGCCCCAGTCCAGATATATTGCATATGCAGCTCTTGATGTCAAAATAACAAAAGTATAAGCAAGCACCAGTACAGTAGAAAGTACTACTACTACTACTAATACTAATACTAACACTGCTACTACTAATACTAATACTAACACTGCTACTACTAGTACTAGTACTTACAAAAGTATATGCAAGCTTCAGGATAGTAAGAAAGTACTACTATTACTACTACTACTACTACTACTACTACTACTACAACTACTTGTACTACTACTACTACTACTACTACTACTACTACTAAGACTGACAAAAGTATACACAAGTACCAGGACAGGTCAAAATGAGTCGGCTGTGTACTGTCTGTAATTATAAAGTGTTTGGATGTCTGAGTATCAGGAAGTGTGTGTTAGCATGCTGTTTGATGTGACTGTGGCAGAGATGAAGGAAGTGCGCGTTAGCATGCCATTTGATGTGACTGTGCTGTTTTGTTGCAGAGATGGAGGAAGATTTGGTGCGTCCTGTTCAGAGAAAGTCACTGCTCCGTGTCCAGACTCGAGATCTACGACTGGAACGAACGCAACGACAAAAGTATACGCAAGCACCAGGACAGCAAGAAGGTACTACTACTACTACTACTACTACTACTACTACTACTACTACTACTACTACAACCGACAAAAGTATACGCAAGCACCAGGACAGCAAGAAGGTACTACTACTACTACTACTACTACTACTACTACTACTACTACCGACAAAAGTATACGCAAGCACCAGGACAGCAAGAAGGTACTACTACTACTACTACTACTACTACTACTACTACTACTACTACTACAACCGACAAAAGTATACGCAAGCACCAGGACAGCAAGAAGGTACTACTACTACTACTACTACTACTACTACTACTACTACTACTACTACTACTACTACTACCGACAAAAGTATACGCAAGCACCAGGACAGCAAGAAGGTACTACTACTACTACTACTACTACTACTACTACTACTACTACTACAACCGACAAAAGTATACGCAAGCACCAGGACAGCAAGAAGGTACTACTACTACTACTACTACTACTACTACTACTACTACTACTACTACTACTACAACCGACAAAAGTATACACAAACACCAGAACAGCAAGAAGGTACTACTACTACTACTACTACTACTACTACTACTACTACTACTACTACTACTACTACAACCGACAAAAGTATACGCAAGCACCAGGACAGCAAGAAGGTACTACTACTACTACTACTACTACTACTACTACTACTACTACTACTACTACAACCGACAAAAGTATACGCAAGCACCAGGACAGCAAGAAGGTACTACTACTACTACTACTACTACTACTACTACTACTACTACTACTACTACTACTACTACTACTACTACTACTACTACTACTACCGACAAAAGTATACGCAAGCACCAGGACAGCAAGAAGGTACTACTACTACTACTACTACTACTACTACTACTACTACTACTACCGACAAAAGTATACAAGCACCAGGACAGCAAGAAGGTACTACTACTACTACTACTACTACTACTACTACTACTACTACTACTACTACAACAAAAGTATACACAAACACCAGGACAGAAAGAAGGTACTACTACTACTACTACTACTACTACTACTACTACTACTACTACCAACAAAAGTCTACGCATGCACCAGAACAGCAAGAAGGTACTACTACTACTACTACTACTACTACTACTACTACTACTACTACTACTACTACTACTACTACTACTACAACCTGTATATGTTTGCGGTTGCTAGGTAACGGTCTGACCTGTGTGTGTGGTTGCTAGGTGACGGTCTGACCTGTGTGTGTGGTTGCTAGGTGACCGTCTGACCTGTGTGTGTGGTTGCTAGGTAACGGTCTGACCTGTGTGTGTGGTTGCTAGGTGACCGTCTGACCTGTGTGTGTGGTTGCTAGGTGACGGTCTGACCTGTGTGTGTGGTTGCTAGGTGACAGTCTGACCTGTGTGTGTGTGGTTGCTAGGTAAGGTGACGGTCTGACCTGTGTGTGTGGTTGCTAGGTGCTGACGGTCTGACCTGTGTGTGTGGTTGCTAGGTCTGAGGTCTGACCTGTGTGTGTCGGTTGCTAGGTAACGGTCTGACCTGTGTGTTTGTGCGGTTTCTAGGTGATCCGTCTGTCCTCGTGTATCCGCGTGACTCCGGTGGACGTGGACGGTTCTCCCAAAGACACCAGCGCGTTCCTGATGGAGACCACGGAGAAGATCTTCGTGTTCGCCGTGGACAGACTCCAGGTGGACGAGTGGACGCAGAAACTGTGCGAGATCGCCTTCCCCGTGAGTGTCGGAAAAACAACACAGGAGACGGACGCACTTTAGCAAACAGTCACTTTAGAACTTTTTATTGACCTTTCAAAAGCGTCAGCACTTAAAAATATGACACGAAACCGATTCTTGTGAGATTTACGTCAAGTTGTGGTTTCCTCGTCAAAAATAGAGCTGGAGTTTTGTTTGTTTCATACATGTTTAAGTAACACTTTATTATTAATCTGTTTATGTTAGGCTGGTCCGTCAAACCCTGATAAAAAATAAGTTTTACATAATCTCGTTTGGAACCCTGCTTTAAGTTTTAACTTCAAAAGATAATTTAAGAAGACATTTGGAAGAAAAACGAGATGTTTTAGAGGATGTTCAAGCTGCATAAAGTTTTCTAGAAATTGATAAAATTTGTGTTTTCAAATAACTTTTTACAGACTTTATGGACTTTCTAAGCAACTTTTATGCAAGTTTCAGTTTGTAGTAGTAGTAATAGTAGTAGTAGTAGTAGTAGTAGTAGTAGTAGTAGTAGTAGTAGTAGTAGTAGTAGTAGTAGTACCTTCTTGCTGTCCTGATGTTTGCGTGTACTTTTGTCGGTAGTAGTAGTAGTAATAGTAATAGTAGTAGTAGTACCTTCTCGCTTCAAATTATTTGAATAATCCTTATTTATTTGGTTCTGTGTTATAGTACAGGCCCTACAGTGTTTTGACCAACCTCTAAATATTAATTTGTAAAAAATTTGGACCCAAATATTTTGGCTAAATGCAGGGTTCTAATCTAGAGAATCTAAACAACTACTTTTTTTTGGACCACCCTAGTCTACTAGTCAGGCCGGCGCCACCGAGTGCCTCCACTCAGTTTCATTTCTCTCCAGTGACTTGATCAGGAATCAGAAAACACTAGATGATTTGTAAAAACCCCGGAAGTGTGAGTTCAGGCACCAGCCAATCAGAGAAGAGACAGACATTCTGTGTTGTCAACAATTCCCGAGATCAAGGATTTAAAGTCGGAACAAAGAGAATGTTTGGTGAATTTTATCAAGAGGAAAGACGTTATTGTTCTTCTTCCTGTGGGATTTGGAGCTTTACATACGTCACGACCAAACAGCAGCGACTGGTTAAATAAAAAAAGTACCCGTCTACTGTCGAGCGAACGAATCCTAATGCTGCGAGGTCACATGGTTTCTATGAAGTGAACCCGTCTGATGAATCAGGCGACTAGTCTACATCTCCAAAGCTCAAAATACTCTGTTCCACCTTGTGATGTCATGAAGTGGTAGTTTTCAAGTGAACAGCTCCTTTTACATTTACTTCAGTAGAGATTTGTGCAGAAATTCCAGGCCTAAAATGATCCAAATGATTCTAGTGAAAGTGTGTGGAGTGTAAAAACACAGTGGAGCACTTCCTGTATCACCACATGATGACATCACAAGGTGGAACAGAGTGTTTTCTGTTTGAGAGAAGAGCTCAGTTTAAATCTGCAGGTTTGTGCGTTAAACATGTGAACGAAACAAAACACAACTCTAGGTCTGATTGTGACGAAAAATAGCATCAGTTGACCTTCTGCCAGAAAAGTTACACAGTGCACCTTTAATTACGGCAGCTCAGTACAACTTTCTACAAAATTTGACTTGATATTTTATTAAAAGCTTTATTAATCTTTCAGTAAAAGTATATTTGTACAACAGTTTTCTCAGTAAGGCATTTTAAAGGTTCATTGTGTAACTTTTTTGGTCTGTCACCTGCTGGTTTCCATGGAGATGTACAACATTAAACACACATCTATCCAGGATTTATTCATTATGAGCTCAAAAATACAACACTTCTCTGTGTGGACGGGGGCGCCTCTCCACAGATCTGACCTGTAATGAAGCCTGTAGTTGTCTCACGTTCTCGACAAAACAAGAACATCTCCACGAAGGAAGTGACGGGGCCTGCACCAGAAAAGTTGCACAATGCAGCTTTAAAGACAAACCCACATCCCTCCAGCCTCCTGCCGCACAACAACACCTGTCACACACTTTGTCTGGTGCACACTTATCTGTGACACGATGTGTGTGTGTGTGTGTGTGTGTGTGTTTGTGTTGTTGTGTGTGTTTGTGTTGTTGTGTGTGTTGTTGTGTGTGTGTGTGTTGTTGTGTGTGTTTGTGTTGATGTGTTGTGTGTGTGTGTTGTTGTGTGTGTTTGTGTTGTTGTGTGTGTTTGTGTGTTTGTTTGTGTTGTGTTGTTGTGTTGTGTGTGTTGTGTGTGTTTGTGTGTTGTTTGTGTGTGTTGTGTGTGTGTTTGTGTGTGTTTGTGTGTGTGTGTGTGTGTTGTGTTGATGTTTGTGTGTTTGTGTTGATTTGTGTTTGTTTTGTTTGTGTTGTTGTTGTTGTTGTTGTTTTGTGTGTTTGTGTGTTTGTTTTGTTTTGTGTTGTTGTTGTGTGTGTTTGTTGTTGTGTTGTTTGTTGTGTGTGTTGTTGTTGTTTGTTGTTGTTTGTTGTTGTTTGTTGTGTGTTTGTTGTTGTTTGTGTGTTTGTTGTTGTTTGTGTGTTGTGTGTTTGTGTTGTTTGTGTGTGTTGTTGTTGTGTTTGTGTGTTGTTGTTTGTGTTTGTTGTGTTTTGTGTGTGTTTGTGTGTTGTTGTTGTTTGTTGTTTGTGTGTTTGTTGTTGTTTGTGTGTGTTGTTTGTTGTTTGTTGTTGTTGTTGTTTGTTGTTGTTTGTTGTGTTGTGTGTGTTGTTGTTGTTGTGTGTGTTGTTGTGTTGTGTTGTTGTTGTTGTTGTTGTTTGTGTGTTTGTTGTTGTTTGTGTGTTTGTTGTTGTTTGTGTGTTTGTGTGTTTGTTGTTGTTTGTGTGTTTGTTGTTGTTTGTGTGTTTGTGTGTTTGTGTTGTTGTGTGTTGTTGTGTGTTTGTGTGTTTGTTGTTGTTGTGTGTTGTTTTGTGTGTTTGTGTTTCATGTGTGTTGTTGTGTTGTTGTTTGTTGTTGTTGTTGTTGTTTTGTGTGTTTGTGTGTTGTTGTTGTGTTGTTGTGTGTTTTGTTGTGTTGTTGTTGTTTGTGTGTTTGTGTGTGTTGTTGTTGTTGTTTGTGTTGTTGATGTGTGTTTGAGTCGAGTTTACAGAGAGTGGTCGAGTTTACCAGAGGACTTGAGGAACAGGTCCGACTCGAACCAGAACCAGAACCAAGGAGCCACGGCCGGGATGGAGGACAACTCCCTGTACAGCCAGAGGGAGACAGGTACGAGTCTCTAGAACGACACCGAACACACAGAGACACAGAGACACAGAGACACAGAGACACAGAGACACAGAGACACAGACACAGACACAGAGACACAGACACAGAACAACACAGAGACACAGAGACAGAGACAGAGACACAGACACAGAGACAGAGACAGAGACACAGAGACACAGAGACAGACAGAGACACAGAGACACAGACACAGACAGACACAGAGAGACAGACAGAGACACAGACAGAGACACAGAGACAGAGACAGAGACACAGAGACACAGACACAGAGACACAGAGACACAGACACAGAGACACACAGAGACACAGAGACACAGACCAGACAGACAGAGACAGAGACACAGAGACACAGAGACACAGAGACAGAGACAGAGACACACAGAGACACAGAGACAGAGACAGAGACAGAGACACAGAGACAGAGACACAGAGACACAGACAGAGACACAGAGACAGACAGAGACACACAGAGACACAGAGACACAGAGACACAGAGACAGAGACAGACAGAGACAGAGACAGACAGACACAGAGACACAGAGACACAGAGAGACACAGAGACAGAGACAGAGACAACAGAGAGACAGAGACAGAGACACAGACAGAGAACAGAGACACAGAGACACAGAGACACAGAGACACAGACAGAGACAGAGACACAGAGACACAGAGACAGAGACACAGAGACAGAGACAACAGAGACACAGAGACACAGACACAGACACAGACACAGAGACAGACACAGAGACACAGACACAGAGACACACAGAGACACAGACAGAGACACACAGAGACACAGAGACAGAGACACAGACAGAGACACAGAGACAGACACAGAGACACACAGAGACACAGACAGAGACAGAGACACAGAGACACAGAGACACAGAACAGAGACAGAGACAGAGACAGAGACACAGAGACACAGAGACAGAGACACAGAGACACAGAGACAGAGACACACAGAGACACAGAGACACAGACAGAGACAGAGACAGAGACACACAGAGACACAGAGACAGACACAGAGACACAGACAGACAGAGACAGAGACACACAGAGACAGACAGAGACACAGAGACACAGAGAGAGACAGAGACAGAGACACAGAGACACACAGAGACACAGAGACACAGACAGAGACAGAGACACAGACACACAGAGACACAGAGACACAGAGACAGAGACACAGAGACACAGAGACAGAGACACAGAGACACAGAGACACAGAGACACAGAGACAGAGACAGAGACAGAGACAGAGACGCAGACAGAGGGAGACAGGTACGAGTCTCTAGTGCAGAAGTGTCAAACTCATTTTGGTTCGGGGGCCGAATCCATCCGACTTTGATCCCAAAGTGTCCGGATCAGAAAACTCATGTCATATAAACCCCAAAAATAACAATAAGTTCAAATATTTGTGCAGAGAAACACAAATCTATTACAGAAATCTGTTTTAATTGATGAACTCTTTCTTTTACAAAATATTATAATATTATGAACAACCTGAAACTTTAAGGAAAAATGCAATTTCAACACAAAGTTTTAACATGAACTTGTTTGAAAATAAGAATAAGTCCATTTTTGTTGTAAAATCCTGCACTCGGCTCCACTTTTCTCATGTTGGACATTTTTCTGATGAGGGTGTCACGGTCAACAGTCAAAACGATCGTCCTTTAAGAGCGTTTGGAAAGAGACAAGTCTTCATTTGTGCTGCTCTGGTGGGAGGGGCCACGTACAGAGACGCTGGAGACGCTGCTGTGATAAACACCACAGAAAATTAACAAGGTTTTAATAGAAAATATCATTAAAATATTTGAGTAGAAAATCAGCTGAGGGCCACATTAAAGGTCTTGGAGGGCCGGATCCGGCCCCCGGGCCGTATGTTTGACACCTGTGCTCTAGACCAACATCGAACACAGAGAGACAAAGAGACACAGAGACAGAGACACACAGCGAGAGACACAGAGACAGAAAGAGCAGATGTCTCCAGATTTGCTCCTGTAGCCGTTGCATCCTGAGCTTCATGAGACTTGAGACAAACGCAGTGGTGACATTTCTCTTTCTTTAGTTCACGTCTTTATCTGTGTCTTTGTTGGAGCAGTGTCGTGTCAATCCAAACCCTTTCATTTTGTCGTCTTTTGTACGTTAGCTTTTTGAGTTATTTTTAAAGATAATACAGTAAGAGCTGTATGTCTGTTATGAACAGTTGTAGGGAGTATTATCTGTGTCATAGGGGTGAGTTTTTGGACAGACTCAAAAATACCTAAAACAACAACAAACAGACATTCTGACTGTGAACGGGGTCGCCTCTCCACAGATCTGACCCGTAGCTTGGTCTGGTTTAGTGTCCATGAAAATAGAACAGTTTAATGATGAATTTCTTTATATTTCTTCTTTATATTTCTTTTTTTTTTTTTCTTTGTGAGTCTTGTGGTGTGTGGTCAGAGTCGAGTTATGTTCCACTAAAGAGGAAGTTCTGGGTCTGACTCTGACGGGCTTAACATGGGTTGTTTAAAAATACCAGAGTCCGACGTGTGAAAGACGACAGTGGAAAAAGTTGGTGTGAATGTTGTGAAAGACATGTGAAAAAAACGAGTCAAGTGTTCGAGAAAAGAGAAGAAACACCTTTTGACAATTTTTGAGAACAGACTGTGGAGTTTTTAGTGAAGCCAAAGCATCACCAGATCTGAGGATGAACTTAGACGAAAAGTTTACAATCCCACAATCCCTGACTGTACTTTTAGAACGTGAGCAGCGGCTCTACTCCGAGCTCCTCTCTGTGCCTGTGAGGAAACTCTGAGAACTTTCACTGAGACACGAAGGCGACTGAGAAGAGCTCTGGAAATGTTTTTTGGAAATTAGTTTGGGTTGAGTCCGGGGCGAGTCCCGGTTGTGTCCTGGCTGAGTCCAGATTGAGTCCCAGTTGAGTCCGGGTTGAGTCCAGGTTGAGTTCCAGGTTGAGTCCTGTTGAGTCCGGTTTGAGTCCAGGTTGAGTTCCAGGTTGAGTCCTGTTGAGTCCGGTTTGAGTCCAGGTTGAGTTCAGGTTGAGTCCTGTTGAGTCCGGTTGAGTCAGGTTGAGTCTGGTTTGAGTCCAGGTTGAGTCTGTTGAGTCCGGTTTGAGTCCAGGTTGAGTTCCAGGTTGAGTCCTGTTGAGTCCGGTTTGAGTCCAGGTTGAGTCTGGGTTGAATCTGGGTTGAGTCCAGGTTGAGTCCTGGTCTTTGGTCTGTTTTCAGTCCTGGTCGAGTTCTGGTTGAGACTGGGTTGAGTCCTGGTAGAGTCCGTGTTAAGTCCTGGTTGAGTTCCAGCTGAGTCCTGGTTGAGTCCCGGTCAAGTCCCGGTCACTTGTCTGTTTTCAGTCCTGGTTATGTTACGGTTTAGTCCTGGCTGAGTCCTCGTCTCTGGTCTGTTTGCAGTCCTGACTGAGTCCTGGATGAGTCCCAGTTGAGTCCGGGTTGAATCCTGGTAGAGTTCTGGTTGAGTCCAGTTTGAGTCCTTCTCACTGGTCTGTTTTCAGTCCTGGTTGAGTCCTGGTTGAGTCCTGTTGAGTCCTGGTTGAGTCTCGGTTGAGTCCTGGTTGAGTCCTGGTTGAGACTGGGTTGAGTCTGGATTGAGTCCTGGTCTCTGGTCTGTTTTCAGTCCTGGTTTGAGTCTGGTTGAGGTTGAGTTGAGTCCTGGTTGAGTCTGGTTGAGTCCTGGTTGGTCTGAGTCCTGGTTGAGTCCAGTTGAGTCTGAGTCTGGTTGAGTCCGGTGAGTCCTGGTGATTGTCTGTTTTTCAGTCCTGGTTGTTAGTGTTTGAGTTCTGGTTGAGTCCTCGTCTCTGGTCTGTTTACAGTCCTGACTGAGTCCTGGATGAGTCCAGTTGAGTCCGGGGTCTGGTGAGTTCTGGTTGAGTCCAGTTTGAGTCACTGGTTGTTTTCAGTCCTGGTTGAGTCTGGTTGAGTCTGGTTGAGTGGTTGAGTCCAGTCCTGGTCTGAGTCTTGAGTCCTGGTTGAGTCCAGTTGAGTGGTTGAGTCAGTCTCTGGTTGAGTTCCTGAGCCAGTTGAGTCTGGTCTTGAGTCTGTCTCTGGTCTGTTTGCAGTCCTGACTGAGTCCTGGATGAGTCCCAGTTGAGTCCGGGGTGGAGTCCAGGTTGAGTCCTGGTTGAGTCCTGGTCTCTGATCCAAAATGAACAAAAACGTGACATTTCTTAAAAACTTCGGTCTCTAGTTTTATTCTAATTTACTTTTTAACCGTCGTCTGTCGCTCTCAGCATGAATCAGCATTTTTATTTGTAATTATGAATCATGGCGTGTATTTTTTTTTTTTTGGGGGGGGGGGTGTAGGAACAGAGCGAGTTCAGATGTGGTTAGTGTCGCACGGTTCGACTATTTTTAGAATCTGCAGAAGAAGAGCTGAACAGGAAGTGCGGTCTGTGTGACAGGAAGTTCACTTGCTCAAAACTAATTCTCTTTTTAGATCGCACAACCAGAACCTTCTTAAATGATCGTCTCTGCTCCTGCGGCGAACCGTTTTAACTTTTAAACGCTGAGCTGGATATTTATTCCAGCTATCTCCAAATCGTTTTGCCGAGTCAGAAAGAAAATTCCGGAAATCTGCATCATTTTTCCAGTCCGGAATTGTCATTTCAAATATCTGCAACTGAATTATAGATATTTATAATTCCAGTTTGACATATTTACAATTTGATTCTGACTAATCATAACTCAAGTTCAAGATATTTTTAATTCACCTCAACTGAAGTCCTGGTTGAGTCCTGGTTGAGTCCTGGTTGAGTCCTGGTTGAGTCCTGGTTGAGTCCTGGTTGAGTCCAGGTTGAGTCCTGGTTGAGTCCAGGTTGAGTCCTGGTTGAGTCCTAGTTGAGTCCTGGTTGAGTCCAGGTTGAGTCCTGGTTGAGTCCTGGTTGAGTCCTAGTTGAGTCCTGGTTGAGTCCAGGTTGAGTCCTGGTTGAGTCCTAGTTGAGTCCTGGTTGAGTCCAGGTT